ATTGTTATTTTGAAGAAAATGTAAACGTATTGCAATAACATCATAACATCCAAATGTTCCAACTTCTTTCAAAATGTGAAGAACATTAATGCTTTCATGCCAACAATAAACTTATCACTGTACAGGAATATGTGTTTAATAATCATGATTTATACAATTAATGAAACAAAGAAATTCATGGATTAAAACACCTATCCCTGTAAAACAAATAATCAACATATTTGAAACACTGAACTTTTGTTGTAAAGCTTTTTTCTTAATTCAGTACTTCTCATCTTTGGTAACTGTTTTCCACTGTTTTTCTCTCAAATGATTATACTTAGACATTTACTTCAGACAGAAAATTTGTAGCTGTTCAGTTTTTCAGAATGGAAGCATATATGAATATGTTGAAGTGCCACAATGAAGAGAAGACCAAGAACTATTCTTGAGACACAGAAAATTTTTTCTTTAATTTGGGCAACATTCATATTCAACTAAAAATTTCCCTTAACTGTCATATACTAATACCTACTAATATCCATATATACTTACTATATCTGAAGAATTCAAAGAGCATATAGGTGGAGAAAAGAATAGATATAAGCCCTTCCCTAAGTTCAGGCCTCTTGTATGTATTCTTTTCTTCAGCTATATGCTCTTTGTAGAGCCATTCCTGGGTGAGTATCCAGTTCCTAGGTTAAAAGGAAAATGGTATAAGTAATCTGTAAGTAAAAATTGGTGCAAAATTTTAATTAAATGTTAATATGTGTAGAACCTTCATAGGACTGTATACCCTGACCTTATATGACTAAATTATATATACTTATATATACTTATATGACCTTCAACCAAAAATACTGATATGTAGTCTTGAACTTAGGAAACACCGTTTATGATTTAGTTTGATAACCTCTAGTCAATTTGAAGCAAGTTGAAAAAAGACCTTTTTGACCTATTTTGACCTTGAGAAGGTCATTGAAGGTCAAATGTCAAATCTTAAGTCAGATTTGAACTTCTTAGAACATGTAGATGATTTTGAAAAAAAAATTCGTCAATTTGTAGCAAGTTGAAAAAATACTTCATTGAGAAGGTCATTGAAGGTCAAATGTCAAATGTGAAGTCAGATTTGAACTTCTGAGAACTTGTAAAGTCAAATTTGAACTTCTGAAAAGATGTAGATGATTTTGAAAAAAACTGGGTCAATTTGAAGCAAGTTGAAAACTGACCTTTTTGACCTTTTTTGACCTTGAGAAGGTCATTAAAGGTCAAATCTTAAGTCAGATTTGAATTTCTGAGAACACATAGATGATTTTGAAAAAAAAAATTAGTCAATTTGAAGCAAGTTGAAAACAGACCTTTTTGACCTTTTTTGACCTTGAGAAGGTCATTGAAGGTCAAATGTCAAATGTAAAGTCAAATCTAAAGTTATATTTGAATTTCTGAGAACATGTACATGATTTTGAAAAAAAAATTTAGTCAATTTGAAGCAAGATGAAAAAATACCTTTTTGACCTTTTTTGACATTGAGAAGGTCATTGAAGGTCAAATGTCAAATCTAAAGTCAGATTTGAATTTCTGAGAACATGTAGATGATTTTGAAAAAAAAATTAGTCAATTTGAAGCAAGTTGAAAAAAGACCTTTTTGACCTTTTTTGACTTTGAGAAGGTCATTGAAGGTCAAATGTCAAATCTTAAGTCAGATTTGAATTTCTGAGAACACGTAGATGATTTTGAAAAAATTTTTTAGTCAATTTGAAGCAAGTTGAAAACAGACCTTTGTGACCTTTTTTGACCTTGAGAAGTTCATTGAAGGTAAAATGTCAAATCTTAAGTCAGATTTGAATTTGTGAGAACACGTAGATGATTTTGAAAAAAAAATTTAGTCAATTTGAAGCAAGTTGAAAACAGACCTTTGTGACCTTTTTTGACCTTGAGAAGTTCATTGAAGGTAAAATGTCAAATCTTAAGTCAGATTTGAATTTGTGAGAACACGTAGATGATTTTGAAAAAAAAATTTAGTCAATTTGAAGCAAGTTGAAAACAGACCTTTTTGACCTTTTTTGACCTTGAGAAGGTCATTGAAGGTCAAATGTCAAATGTAAAGTCAAATCTAAAGTTATATTTGAATTTCTGAGAACATGTACATGATTTTGAAAAAAAAATTTAGTCAATTTGAAGCAAGATGAAAAAATACCTTTTTGACCTTTTTTGACATTGAGAAGGTCATTGAAGGTCAAATGTCAAATCTAAAGTCAGATTTGAATTTCTGAGAACATGTAGATGATTTTGAAAAAAAAATTAGTCAATTTGAAGCAAGTTGAAAAAAGACCTTTTTGACCTTTTTTGACTTTGAGAAGGTCATTGAAGGTCAAATGTCAAATCTTAAGTCAGATTTGAATTTCTGAGAACACGTAGATGATTTTGAAAAATTTTTTTAGTCAATTTGAAGCAAGTTGAAAACAGACCTTTGTGACCTTTTTTGACCTTGAGAAGTTCATTGAAGGTAAAATGTCAAATCTTAAGTCAGATTTGAATTTGTGAGAACACGTAGATGATTTTGAAAAAAAAATTTAGTCAATTTGAAGCAAGTTGAAAACAGACCTTTGTGACCTTTTTTGACCTTGAGAAGTTCATTGAAGGTAAAATGTCAAATCTTAAGTCAGATTTGAATTTGTGAGAACACGTAGATGATTTTGAAAAAAAAATTTAGTCAATTTGAAGCAAGTTGAAAACAGACCTTTTTTGACCTTGAGAAGGTCATTAAAGGTCAAATGTCAAATCTAAAGTCAGATTTGAAGGTCAAATGTCAAATCTGTCAAATCTAAAGTCAGATTTTAATTTCTGAGAACATGTAGATGATTTTGAAAAAAAATTTAGTCAATGTGAAGCAAGTTGAAAAAAGACCTTTTTGACCTTGAGAAGGTCATTGAAGGTCAAATGTCAAATCTAAAGTCAGATTTGAACTTCTGAGAACATGTAGATGATTTAGAAAAAAATTGAAGTCAGTCTAAACAGTATTTGTTAAGTTATAGGAAGTTGTAAGAAATTGTTACAGACGCCGGACGCCGGACGCCAACCGCCGGACGCCAACCTCCAACCGCCGGACGCCGTCAGAAAAAAACGGAGACCATAACAATATGTCACCACTTTTGGTGGTGACATAATAAAAAGAAAACTATTTGTCATAGTTGGGTTTTGAACCTGCAAAGGCACCCTGGGTATAGTCTGTCACGTGACTTCATGGATGACCTGTGCGCGAGTGATTCGCAATTTCTTTCGCTTGAGGTTTGTAATCACACTTTTTACATGTTTTAAGATTTTGTATCTCTGTGAAACTTGTCCCGTACCATCAATGTCTGAAGACGATCTAATTCACCAAATATCTCATCCAAGCGTGTCCCGGTTAAAGAGAAATTCGCACTTTTGTGTCTCGCAAAATGACGTGTGCGCGAGTAAATCGAATTTTACGAAGGATGGGTGCGCGAGTCTAAAATATTTTTATTCACTTGAGACAATTCTGCAGGCTAAGGCAGAATGCAACTCACGTGACATTTGTTTTTGTCATCTTAAAGTAGAATGTTAAAGAATAGTTTGCTATTTTGTAGATGTTTCATGTATGGCACATACATGTCTACGTTTAATGACAATAAATGTTTTGAAATAGCTTGTAGGGCTGTCCGGCATTGCAGGTGAATTAAAATTTGAACCAAAAATTGAATTAAATTTTTGGCGGTCTCATAAAACCGGCAGCATATTCATTTATTGACATCCCATACATACAATTTTATTTTGTTGTTTATTGAATCAATCTGGATTCTTTCATTTGATAGTTCTTTTTCACATGGAATGAAGCCATAGCGTTTAGACATGTATGACATAAAACCATTTTCGTGGTTTAAAACTCTTACATAAAAACGAAATTCGTCATACTTATGTTCTTCCCAGGTATGAAGGGCTACACCCTCTAGGCCTTCGAACCTTTGAGTTCCTGGTGGATAGTGGTAGCAGGCGTACATATTTCCTGCAAGGGGAGAAAGGTATGCTTTTCATATGTTTTTAAATCACCTTGTAACAAAATCAATATTGTGTCTAGCTTGCAGAATTGTTTAAAATGAATATAAATATGTTAGACTCGCGCACCCATCCTTCGTAAAATTCGATTTACTCGCGCACACGTCATTTTGCGAGACACAAAAGTGCAAATTTCTCTTTAACCGGGACACGCTTGGATGAGATATTTGGTGAATTAGATCGTCTTCAGATATTGATGGTACGGGACAAGTTTCACAGAGATACAAAATCTTAAAACATGTAAAAAGTGTGATTACAAACCTAAAGCGAAAGAAAATGCGAATCATTCGCGCACACGTCATCCATGAAGTCACGTGACAGACTATACCCAGGGTGAAAGGTGTAATTTCAAGTCTGACACGATAACCATTAGGTATGGCCTAAGCTTGAATCTGGAGTGTAATTTTTCATATATTATATTGTTAATTTTTGATAATATTTTTACCGCTACACCACAATTATCAAAAACAGTCTATAATCATGTTAGAATACATATCTAACAAAGTATTCAACGCAAAATTCAGAATTAATGATGTTAATCCAATTTTCATTTAGATAATCTATTTTTCCTGTGATGACTGTCAAAAACATGCGTTCTTGCTTCTAATTTTCAGATGATGTATATCCAGGGATCAGCTGTTTTTGGCATATGGACCCATCTTAATAGAAAGGTAAGACTATTTTCTTTCTTCTTACTTGAAATCCCTAATTTTAGCCTCTAAATTCTCTGAAAGTCACTTTAATTTTAAGATGAAACCATTGAAAGTTACTTTAAGTTGTATTATTGAAACATTTTTCAACTTGCTTAAAACTGCAAGGAGTTCATATCTAACGTCAGCTTTGAATGTTTGACATCCCCTTGAGATTCAATTGCCTTCTGATTTTTAAAAAAGCATCAACAAGCTGCAGGGAGTTCAAATCTGACGTCAGGTAGATAATTGCCATACCAGGACAATCTATAAGTTTACAGAACTGGGTTTCCATTAAAGCATTGTTGTCATTGCAATCATTCCCTCCATCAGCTGGTGTTGGATTATCGTATTTTCGAGTACGAGATCTATTTCCATCTCCACATGTTTTTGAACACTCTCCCCATTCCGTCCAGAGACTTAGGCCAAAGTCTAAAAAATAACAAACTAGGTCAAGGGGAACAGTTTCTTTGAAGCATTGTATTCTATTATTTCATTGACAAATTTACATATTTTAATTAACAATCACGATTTTTTCAAGTAACTTATTTATCTTATCATAAATTATAGAGAACTAGTAACTTTAATATTGTAAACAATATTTGAAGTTCATAAAAACAAATGGGATCTTCCTAAGATATACGGGGCTGAAAAAGTAACTCATTTAACATATAGAAAACATCAACATCAAGCGCGGTATTTCAAACAGTGTATCCTCGCATTGTGTGTATTCTAGTAAAGAGTAGTACTAAATTAATAGTTAACCTTTATCATCATCTATGGTATTGACAGTATTCTCACTTTCCAGATAGAAGTACCAGAAAGGAGCAGAAAGGAGCACGTAGGTTATCGCAAACAATTTCAAACGATTCTAACTCGAATCATGAATATTTTCTGATCATGAACATGGGTGTATCTTTTAGATCCATGTTGACCTAATTTTCACCAAAACTGCAACCTTTTATTATATCGTTGAATGCATAATTTGAATGTGCTTTGAGACATGTTCGATTTCCTAAAATGAAAAGTTGATTGCTCCAAGGACTTTAAAGATACTGCATTTGGATGACCAAAATGAACTAAAACCAATGGATAGCATGAGATTTTTCAATGGAGAAATAACATGGGGAACACTTATCTTAAAGCAATTAAGTTTTTCGTTCAAGAACTATTTGATACATCAAAATAAAGAACAGTAATGCATAAAGCATTGTAAAAACTGGTTGCATTTTTGGTGAAAATGGGGTCAACTTCTTCGAAAAAGTGTGTTGATGGGTTGATTGCTAGTTAAATATCTCCGAGTTTGTTTGACTTTATTATTACTGTATATAATTGAGATAATGAATTGATCTAAAAGTTAATGTCTTCATTGTCAGAAAATAGTCATAATCCAAAATATAACTTTCTAAAAAAACATTTCTTTGAAAAAAACATAATACATAAAACATAATTAGTCTCCAAACCATCCAAAGGGATAATTATTCCTGAATTTTCAGTTCAAAACTTTTCAACATAAGGTGGCTTTTCAATTTTACAAGATTTTATAGCCCTAGCAGTAGACTGGTTTTCTAAATATTTCATTCACCCGATCATCGTATGGACATGTATTTCTGCTGACGTTTTAACACCAAAACACATACAATTACGATGCAGAACGAAAATTAAACCCAAAACGACTACTGAATTCCACTTGTTATATCACAGAAAGTAAAAATGCACACTGCTTAGATTTTTTGTAAGGGTTGTCAAACATCGGAGTGGCCGAAGTATTTGAAATAAAAATAGCACTAAATAGAGCTTTGCGCATGTCATAACATACCTCTGTATGTGGGCAAATTTAATTTATTTTTTAATTCCATGAAATCTGCTATTCCACCACATCCTGTGTCATGTGTATTCATATCAATGTGATCATATTTGTGCTATCGTGATGTCAACACAACTGTTTACCATAACCATACGATATATATTGATGTATTGAAAACATTACTTATTATTTCTTAAAAACAGCTTTAATTTTGCTTTGGAAACTCGGACAACATAACAAATTATGCATCAAGTCCGTCGATAATTTTTAACTGCTTAATAAAATATTTTTCCGACCATCTCTCATGAGGGGTTGTTTGATATGTCTATTCATTAAAAAAAATTAACACGTTTTATAGTTTGTAGCATTTAGTTGGTACTAAAATCATAAAAATCCCAACAAAGATAAAAGAACTAGACTTTGGAAATTGAAAGGAGTTCAATTTCAGACTCCAGATCTAGACTTTTTTAAGCCCAGTCATCTAAAATAAGCCGAGTCATCCAGAATAAGATGGATGGATAACATAGGAAGGTAGGATAGGATAGAATGGGAAGGAACAATAGGATAGAATAAGAAAGAAGGATAGGATAGGACAGAATAGGAAGAAAGGATATGATAGGAGAGGATAGGAAGGATAGGAAGGAAAGGATACGAAGGAAGGATAGATAGGAAGGATAGGATAGGATCAGATAGGAAGGATGGATGAATTTTTCAATATTTTCTTCTCTACTCTTGACTTTCTATCAGGATACCATCAGATCTATTTTCCGAAATTTCAAAATGCCATAACTTCCGAACCGGAAGTCGGATATAAATTTGATTTAAAGATTCAGGTTCCTGACAAAATTCTACCCCTAATTCATAACTCATACGTTAAGTTTGGCGAATTTTTATTTTGACCTACTTTTTGGACACGCCATTACTTCGGAACCGGAAGTTAGATCGAAATTTGGTTTGCAGATTCAGATTTCTGAGAAAATTCTATTCTTAATTCATAACTCAAACGTTAAATTTGGAGAACTTTTTATTTTGACCTACTTTTCGGACACCATATCTCAAAAGTGGGGCAAAATACTTTCTGACGGCAAAAGGCTAAAACTATTAGCACACTCTTGGCTACATGTATACAAAATTTTGAAGAATATAATTAATCTGTAGTGTCAGAATCGCAAAAATAAGGAAAAACTTTGAATTTGACCTAGATTTTGACCTAGGCATTTTGGTGTCCAAAATTTAAAGCTAGATGGCTTTTGAGGTCCCATTCTTTTAAAAGTTTTCATTATATTTAGCTGAACTCAGTCTATATTTCGTATTTTTCACTTCAATAAAATCTTTTTTCCTATTGACTTAACATGGGCTCCAAATTTAGCGATTTTTGAGCTTTCAAAATGCCATAACTTCAGAACCGGAAGTCTGATCCAAATTTCGTTTTCAGATTCGGAATCCTGAGAAAATTTCCTATAAGACTAATATCCTGGACATTTGATTCGGAGAACTTTTTTTTGGACCTCGTTTTCGGACACTGATATCTCGAAATCGGTTTGAGATATCAAAAAACTAAATCGACCCTAGGTTTCCTACTTTTTTATAAGGAACACATTGTAAAGAAACCGGATCGAAAATATTGAAGGACGACCGAGAAAATCAAAAAAAGTGACAAAGTACTGGATTTGACCTAGTTCTTGACCTTTGACCTAGATAAAAATTTGACCCAATTTCCCACCAACTAGATACTGAACCTAAACAAACTGTATTATGGTCTTTACTGGATACCTTATAGTTATTGAGAAAACTCAAAAAGAAAAATAAGAATAATAATAACTAGACTTTGGAAATTGAACAAGTTCAATTTCAGACTCCAGATTAAGACTTTTTAAGCTGAGTCATCCACAATAAGCCGAGTCATCCAGAATAAGCTAAGTCATCCAGAATAAGCTGAGTCATCCAGCATAAGCCGAGTCATCCAGAATAAGCAGGTGGATGGCTGGACTGATGGATGAATGGATGGATTGATAGGAGGAAGGATAGGACAGAATAGGAAGGAAGCAAAGGATAGAATAGGAAGAAAGGATAGGATAGTATAGGGTATGAAGGATAGAATAGGATACGATAGAATCCGAAGAAAGAATAAGATAGGACAGAATAGGAAGGATAGGATAGGATAGGATAGGAAGAGGAAAGAAGGATAGGATTGGATAGGATAGGTGGGATTGATATAGCCGAGTAGTCATCCATAATAAGCCGAGTCATCCATAATAAGCCGATGGATGGATGGATTGATGGATGAATGGATGGATTGATAGGATAGGAAGGATAGGACAGAATAGGGAGGAAGGATAGGATAGAATAGGAAGGATAGGATAGTATAGGATAGGATAGGAAGGATAGAATAGTATACCATAGAATCCGAAGAAAGAATAAGATAGGACAGAATAGGAAGTGCAGGATAGGATAGGATAGGAAGGATAGGAAAGAAGGATAGGATTGGATAGGATAGATGGGATGGATATTATAGTCAAGTCATCCAAAATAGGCTGAGTCATCCAGAATAAGCCGAGTCATCCAGAATAAGCCGATGGATGGATGGATTGATGGATGAATGGATGAATTCATAGGATAGGAAGTATAGGACAGAATAGGAAGAAAGGATAGGATAGTATAGGATAGGATAGGAAGGATAGAATAGGATATGATAGAATCCAAAGAAAGAATAAGATAGGACAGAATAGGAAGGATGGGATAGGAAGGAAGGAAGGATATGATAGGAAGGATAGGAAAGAAGGATAGGATTGAATAGGATAGGTGGGATGGATATAGCCGAGTCGTCCAGAATAAACCAAGTCATCCAGTCCTATCCCTCTTTCATATCCTTCTTATACTATCCTTCCTTCCTATCCTATCCTATCCTTCCTTCCAGAATAGGAAGGAAGGATAGGATAGAATAGGAAGAAACGATAGGATAGTATAGAATAAGAAGGAAGGATAGGATAGGAAGGATAGGAAAGAAGGATAGGATTGGATAGGATATATGATAGGATATAGGATAGATATAGGATAGATATAGGATAGAATATAGGATAGGATATAGAATAGGAAGGAAGGATAGGATAGGAAGGAAAGGATAGGAAGGAAGGATAGATAGGAAGGATATGATCAGACAGGATAGGAAGGAAGGATGGATGATTTTTTCTATATTTTCTTCGCTACTCTTGACTTTCTATAAGGATATCATCAGATCGATTTTTCTCGAAATTTCAAAACGCCATAACTTTCGAACCGGAAGTGGAATCGAAATTTGCTTTGCAGATTCGGATTCCTGAGTAAATTCTACCCTTAATTCATAACTCAGATGTTAAATTTGGAGAACTCGTTATTTTGACCTACTTTCTGGACGCCATATTTCAAAATCGGTAAGAGTAATCAAAAAACGGATGGCACACTTATGAAAGGGCTGTTTCTAAGCTACATGATAAAAAAAAGATGAAGACGTTTCGATAAATAACTGATGAATAAGAATGTTAAAAATACATTAAAATTCATGTCTTTAACTGCTTAATAAAATATTTTTCCGACCATCTCTCATGAGGGGTTGTTTGATATGTCTATTCATTAAAAAAATTTAACACGTTTTATAGTTTGTAGCATTTAGTTGGTACTAAAATCATAAAAATCCCAACAAAGATAAAAGAATAAAGAAACTGTTCTAATTTCACCTTTCTCAAAAAGGTATTGGTATTATTTCTAGTTGCTCAACATATTGTTATATACCATTATGAAACTATGGCAACGGAGGACTGGAATACGATGAGACATTGTTATTCCACATTAATATTTTAGTAAAAAAAAAGTAGTTTATGTTCATCTAGCTTTCATTTGGCATTAATATCATCAAAATCGGACAAAGAATGAGAGCTATATTCAAAAGCAAAAGTAGTCCTTAAGGCGAATACATTTGTCTCACAATGGTAATGTTTGATTCGCAAACAATATTTGCAGAAAAGTAGTGTTCGCCAGATATCATTCTTACGTGGTATGTAAACATTATTTTGTTCTGTAGGTTGCAAAAGATATATTTCGACATGATTTTTCAATTTTGTCCTAATGCCACTTTAGATTTTTTAACTGTTTGAAATCATAAATATGGTTATGCATAAACTTATAAACAGGTACATAATATTTTTGATATGGACTTCACACAATAACGTATTTTGGTTATATTACCAATACCTATCAAAAGGGTAAAAACTCAATAATATTACATTTGTAAATCAATTTTCTCTCATGAAATACATAAATCAACAATCTAAATCTTCTATCATTAGAATCATATCCCCAAAACTGACATAGGGGACACATCCGTATGGTCAGTTCCTAGCACTCTATATTCAGCAATTGGTAAATAATGATTTTGACCCTTGGCATTTTTTGGCCCACCCTGTATCTTGTTCTTTCATAAAAAATGTAATAGATATACAAAAATATCTCCCTGGGTTACTATGACTTTCTTTACATTTGACCTAGTTTTTGAGATTTTGATACACCTTCTTCGAGAGGATATAAAAATACATTGTCCAAATTAGGGTTAAATCGTCCCTTAGATCAACAAATTCCAGGTTACATGCACTTCAAACTTCGCCCAAAACGCGGAAATTTGGGAAATGAATAGATTAGATTATCGCCATTTTGAAAGCGGTGGCCATCTTGTAAAAAATATATTTCGCCAATAATCATCTTTCTAACAAATATGGAGAACAATTGGTTTGGTAATCTTGCCCAAGTCAGTATTATTTTACCAGCTATTTCCCAGACGGGCGGACTGATGAATTGAAAGGACTATTACCTAATGATCTCTTGCAGAGGGCTCTATTTAAATTAGAGCAAGACATGCTGTCCCAGTCCCCAACTCGTCTAGAATATGCGCAGTTGTAGTTCTTGATACTAGAATACCACATCCGTTCTCTGGAAATGAAATAATTTATAGATGCATTAATGCAGTGGTATAAAACTGTGGTCAAAAGTTCCTGCACATGGCCTGACCGGCCAGAACCTTGAAACAAAAAAATAAAAGTATATAGAATTTTATAAAGGAGGCAATGAGTTTTCAATCATTACGTTCTGTTCTTCATATAACATAATGAGAACCATCGAGGTAAATTGTTGTTTGATTATGACCAGGGGCTTTCGAGAGAAGGGTTGCTACGCTGTATTTAAACATGACACTTCAAAGTGAGCAATGACATGCTACCCTTTTTATCATATTTTCAAAGAGTATTAATGTAAGCAAAAATAATCTAAAACCCTGCTATGATTTAGAAAACGCGAGCAAGTTCCCACTGAAATCAAGAACAATTAAAAGAAAAGAAGGGTTATCTTTTGTTTACTTTAATTGTATACTGTAGATTGGGTTAATTTGGCGCTACTTAATTTGGCGATTTTGCCATTTTTGGCATATTGGCGGCTATTTAATTTGGCGGATGTGCAAAAAAATAAAAATTTAAAATTAACTTACGCGCTGTTTGCGAATTACCATGTACATGGGCATGTTTGGCTATGTTCATTTTTTCTTTTGAGGACCACTGGCGATATTCACCACGTTTGTACATTTTTGTGAGATCATCCTCATTTTGCACCTCGACCAATGCTGCTACTATACCGCGCTTTTCCTTTCTACTTTTTCCCTGAGTATTAATGAGTGACTGACCAGTTCTAAGCCAATTTATGGGAGACATTTTTTCATATTTTTGGAAAAAACTAAACCGGAGGTGACCTAAATACACCAGACGAAATACCCTAGATAATTCCCGGGGATTCATTCTAAATTTTGGCGAAGATTTGTATTGGCGAATTTTTCAATTTCGCCAAATTAAAGCGGGCGCCAAATTAACCCAATCTACAGTATTGTACAAAGTGTTTTAATCTAATTTTACTCAATTATAACATGGTATTGTAGTAAAAAGCAACTGGTGCAAAAAAAAGTATCACAAGCTGATGTTCTGAGTTATTTGATAATTGGAGAGAGAATGTATCATCTTGAATCGTTATCTCTATATTTCTGTATTTTATAGCTGGAGAAGGTTGTTGCCCTTCAGTTGAAATGGTCATAGTGATATGAAATAAAGGTATTGTTAGTTTCATTTCCTAGTTTCACAAAAATTATACATTTGTTTTTTACCATATTCCTCAAAGCCCCGCTTCTACCATTAGCAATAATAGAGATGTCACAGAACAAAAAAATCGGAACGGTTCAGTTTGGAATATTTTGCTTCTGAACGGAACAATTTCAGAAAGGTTAGGAACAGAGTGACTGCGTGTATTAGATTAAAATAATTTGATCATCTAGGTCTCTTTGGTACTGAAAAGCTCTTCAAAACTCTTCAAAAAGAAGGAGTAAAAAGAATGAACCTCATTTGGTACAAAATATTGAAAGAACAAGACACACAGTGATAAATATCGCACTTTGAAGAGCAAACTGGCCACCATGCAATTTACCCAGCATGGCCAAAACCTAATCAGACCTTGGCACTAGTCTGCTCTTGCATCTGTAAACATTTCAAGTTGACAAGGTTAGCGGTTTTTCTGCAATTTTGATGACAAGAATTTATTTGTAGTCTTGAACTTTGGGAAAATTTAGATAACATTGTTTGTGACCTAATTTGATGACGTTCGACCTTGAAAATTTCACTTTTTCAGACCTCAGTAGGTCTTTTGTAATTAAGCTGACCTAAATTTAAATCCAAAATATCAATTTAGAAAATCAAATTTTTGACCTTTTCAAGGCCACTGAAGGTCAACGAAAGGTCAAATCTGAAATCTAAGGTCAGATTTGAACTTCTGAGAACTTGTAGATGTTTTAAAAAAAAAATTTGGTCAATTTGGAGCAAGTTGGAAAATTCAAAATGGCCGCCAAATTGAAAAATTCAAAATGGCCACCATGTAATTCAGCCAGCATACCCAAAACCTAATCAGATCTTGGCAATAGTCTGTTCTTGCATCTGTAAAAATTTCAAGTTGAACGGATAAGTGGTTTTCCTGGAATTTTGATGACAAGATTTGTTGAAAATTCAAAATGGCCACCACGTAGTTTACCCAGCATGCCCTAAACCTAATAAGATCTTGGCACTAGTCTGATATTGCATGGGTAAAAATTTCAAGTTGAACAGGTTAGCGGGTTTCTTGGAATTTTTATGACAAGAATTGATTTGTAGTCTCAAACTTTGAGAAACTTGGATAACATCATTTGTGACCTAGTTTAATGACCTTGACCTACGACCTTGAAAATTTCACTTTTTCAGACCTCATTAGGTGTTTTGTAATTAAGCTGACCTAAATTTAAATCCAAAATATCAATTTAGAAAATCAACTTTTTTTACCTTTTCAAGGTCACTGAAGGTGAATGAAAGGTCAAATCTGAAATCTTAGGTCAGATTTGAACTTCTGAGAACTTGTAGATGTTTTTAAAAAAAAATTTGGTCAATTTGGAGCAAGTTGAAAAATTCAAAATGGCCGCCAAATTGAAAAATTCAAAATGGCCACCATGTAATTCAGCCAGCATACCCAAAACCTAATCAGATCTTGGCAATAGTCTGCTCTTGCATCTGTAAAAATTTCAAGTTGAACGGATAAGTGGTTTTCCTGGAATTTTGATGACAAGATTTGTTGAAAAATTCAAAATGGCCGCCACATAGTTTACCCAGCATGCCCTTAATAGGTAGTGAGGTAGCACCGAAAAATGTACCCGCTTCTGAACAAATTGAAATTACTTGTTTCTTATGTATTTTTATGTGATACTTCAGAAAATTTTTGTCTGACTCGCCATATCTGGGGCGAAAGTTGTCAAAATTGGGTTTTTGACCCTAAAAAGGAAAATTACAGGGGGTACATTAACATCATTCAATAATTCATTCAGTCTTCAATCATCATAATGATTTTATTGAGAGTTGATGAGATCATTTTAAGGTAGTATGCAAACTTTCAATGGTCTGTCACTCGTGGTTGCCATGGAAACCACATTTTTTGCTGAGAAAACCCTTAATTTTGGTAAAACCTGTACCTGTACATAATATAGAATGTGGATTATTTTTCAAATCAACAGATATCAGAACATTTTAGCACTCTAAAAATCACCAGGGCTGTCCAAACATTTATTTAAAGAGAAAGAATATTGCAATTTATATGACTGGTAAGTGTCAAAGACCATACAATTACAAAAGTGATCAAAAGTGGGCGTCGCCCTCATAATAGTAGTTGATTGCCATTCTCTATAAATACAGAGTTTTACTTGACTTTTGAGATACATTTATATTGAATTTCTTTGGTTATACTTAATATCAAGCACTTTTACATCTAAGTGTTATAGTTATTGCATGGGGATACAGGGGGGAGGGGGGGGGGGGTAGTAACAGAATTGGGAGGGGGCAGAGCTTATCAGCCTTAAGTGTAAATCTCATCTACATGGTTCTAGATTTCATAGGGTACAGCTTCTGGGTCTTATTATATTCATCTCAATATATAAGATATAAGAATTTACATGGTTGGTAAGTGTCAAAGACCATAGAATTACACATGTGATCAAAAGTGGGCGTCGCCCTAATCATAGTATATGGTTCATTCTCTATAAATACAGAGTTTAACTTGACTTTTGAAGTACATTTACTTAAAAACATCTTTGATTTATACTTAATGTCAAGCATTTCTGGTAAGTTATATATGTACATCTAATTGTAATAATTATTGTCTGGGGGTGGAGGAGGGGGGGGGGGCGGGAGTAACAGAATTGGAAATGGGCAGAGCTAATAAGCCTTAAATGTAAATCTCATTGGTAAGTGTCAAAGACCATACAATTACATAAGTGATCAAAAGTGGGTGTTGCTCTAACAATAGTAGATAATTCATTCTCTATGAATATGGAGTTTAACTTGACTTTAAGATTTATTTTTTAAATTAAAACTTCTTTGATTACATTTAGTATTGTAATAGTTATTCCCTGTGGGGGGGGGGCAAGGGGGGTAGTAGCAGAAATGGGAGGGGGCAGAGCCAATGGCCAGTCAGCCTTAAGTATTAATATCATAGTCTGATCATTTTCATTCACCTCCCGATGTTAATATATTAACAATATCATGTGGGAGAAGATACCACTACACTTGCAGATTTGAGAGTCATTCAATTGAGTGTATCTATATGGCGCTCCACCTTTGCCTTTTAAAAAGGTGCTATTGCTATTGCCCCTTCTGCATGGCACTTCATCTGTGAATGTGTGAAGTGCTAGGAAGGCTGCATATATGTCAGGGTCTATATTGGAGGAAATACCACTGACATCAGTCTTCATTTGTTTCCAACTCAAGTATCCAGCAGCACACTTTGCTGTATTTGCTTTTTGTTTTCATCATCATACAAGAACTAATTCCAATCATTAGGGACTCATGTTTTTCTACCTTAAATAGGGCAAGGTGTCCCTCCCCTCTTTCAGGTTCCTTTATGGAATTTTTGATGTAATTATCACATACAAAAACTAATCAATCTGCAATTGTAGAATCTTGAAACAGTCTTCGCCAGATCCAGAAACAAAACTACCTTTCAAGCTGAATTATGGTTTGGGATAGTTGGGGTTTGTTTTCCTTATGACTTGTATACATTTAGAAGTTTTCTTTTTCTTGCTGGGTTCTATTACAAATTTTGGTCCTTTCCCTTTGGCACTTGTGGGTACATGTTCATGCATAGGAATGCGTTTCTCTGTTCTTGCAAGAAGTCCAGTCAGTGTTCCTAGAGCCCAAGGCACAGGGCTCAATAGGAACTGCAGGAGACATTCTAGGCTAATTTTATGTTTTTAAGCAAGATCAAAGCTGTTAAAAGATGTTTCATTCAGAATGTATTTGTATAAGCTTGTTCTGAGTACTTTTTTACTGTCACTGTTGCTGCTGTAGTTTGCTGCTATAGTTTTCAATTTCATATGTTTTATTAGA